GGGCGTGTCCATCTGGCATCTGGGCCATGAATCAAAGCGGTTGGCGCAGGCTTGCAGAGGCATCAATCCACGCCGCCCTTGTTAATTGGTTGGGTTTTGACATTCCTGACAACTCTGCCTGCCACCAATGGTTTAATTGCTCGGTCTGATGAGGGAAGGTTGAGGACTCCCCCATTTGTCACCCCTGTCATCCTGCAGCGGGGCCAGCCTGGCCGAGGCTGAATTGTGCTCTGTGATCATTCTGCCTGGCACAGAGTGGGTCTGGACGCCTGCCCCGCTCGGCCGTGCTGGGCTCCGAGCGTCTGCTCACTCTCATGGAGGCTTTTATTTACTCTGCGTTTCCCAAGCGCCAGCTAGCACCTCATTGCTCACACGCCGGGCCGCTGGCCAGCACGTTCAGGGGGAGACTTTGCTTCGCTACAATATTTATCACCATCATCGTCAACCGGGGCCCTGCATTTATTCTCTGCTTGTTATTCCTAACCGACTTTCAGAAATGAGGCTTTCCTGGGGACAGGGGCAGCTCTGGAAGGGTTTTGATGGATGCAGACAATCCCACGGGAAGAGGGAGCCAGCACGGGAGGCATGATGGAGAGGGCCATGGTCTCTTGGTCCACGTTTGGAATTCAGGCAGCCACTGTGCGCTGCTGGTGATGCTCTGAGCCTCTGTCCATTAGTGGGAGGCTCCCAGCTCTTCACTGAAGGACTTGGTCCTGTGCCTCGGTTTCCCCATCTCTAAAATGGGGATATTTTCTCCTCCCTGTCCTGGTTGTTGCAAAGGTCTAAATGAATTAATATTCATATTTTCAGGTGTGGTGAGGACTTTCTCAAAGGGCAGGGAAGTTTTCTGAATCCACATGTCTGTCCACACTTCCCATTTGAGAACTTTTGACTCCGTTTTGGAGAGGGTCAGCGCCCTCCTGGACACGGCCGGCTCCCTGGCTAAGTAAGAGCTGAAGCCAGCAAACAAAGACCTGTGGGCCAAATCTGCCCCATCTCCTGATTTTGTACGGCCTGCGAGCTAAAAATGGCTTTTACCTCCTTAAAGGGAGGAAAATAAAAAGCAGAATCTTTCAGGACATGTGAAAATGATACGAAATTCACATTCCAGTGTCCACATTTGAGTTTTATTGGAATACAAGCTTGCTTTACGTGTTTGCCTCTGGCAGCTTGTGAGCCACAGCCTAGCACATAACTGGCTGCACCAGACACCACAGGGAGGATAAAACCGAAAACATCCACTGTCTAGTCAGCCCACCTCTGGATCAGAGCCGTGATTTTGGAATTGGGCACTGGCCATTTAAAATCTTGTCTAGAAGGCCCTTCAAGAGTTACATGACCTCCCAACATCAGCCTGGACATCTGCATAATGGGCAGGCTTGGCATCATTGGGAAAATTAAGATCGTGCTTGTCATGTTCCAGGGTTCTAGGCACATAGCATGTGCTTATGAAAAGGAAGTCCCCTCTTTCGTTCTTGGCTCTCCTTTGAAAACTTCTTTCTGCTGGCCACACTCCATGTTGATTTCTTCCTGCCTTTAGGGAAGCGTTCATTCACAGAGCCACCCTGCGCGGGGCCTGGGGAGGAAGTCAACCAGAGCCTGGTGCGTCGGGAGCCCTTGGCTCTCCCAGCGGATGACAAGGCGTGGGCAAGGCCAGGAGGAAAGCACAGGACAGAGGGAAGGCCGCTCACTGAGCCTGGGGGCAGCGGGCCAAGTCAGAGGAGGTGGGGCCTGGAGGTCAGTGTGTCTGGGCGGAGCTGCTCACTTGCCCACTCCCACTCTGTTGGGTGTGACAAGAGCACAGGGGACAGCAAGTGACAGGAATCAAAGGCTCACGGGTATTAGGTGCTGACTAGTTGCCCAGTGCAACTGGGGTTGTGTGAGCTCTGCATTTAATCCCACTGCACCCCAATGAGGTGGGGGACTGTTATTATTAACCATATGTACAGATGCAGAGACTGAGGCAGGAGGCAGGCCAGGGTTCAAGTTGTGGGCAGTGGGCTCCCGAGCCCACGGTGTTGACCGCAGGGCCCTGCCCTTGACCCATAGGCTGCAGCACTGAGATCTGGGCCTATGGGCAGTGGGGAGCCATGGAGGGCTTTAGAGAAATGAGGCTGTGTGATCAGGGATATGTTTGAGGAACAGATTCCTGGGGGCACAGGTCTTATAGCAGGGACACTGCTATTTCCCAATGACAGCTGCCCTCAGGACACCATCTTGTCCCTGTGTGGTTAGAACGAGAGTGGGATTGTCACCGTACCTGTGAGGAAATGGGGGCAGCCTGCTGTTTATTTGCATGCCCTACAGACACGGCTGGCTCAGGGCACAAATGTCATTGGCCCAGTCTTGCCTTCTGGGTTTGAATCTTGGTGCTTTCCTACCCAGGTGACCTTGGGCAAGTGCTCTCTGAGGCATCGCTCCGTGCCTCAGTTTCCCCATCTGTCAAACCAGGATAACAATAGTGTCAGCTGATGGGGTGGGCAGGAGAGCTCAATGAGATGATAATGCACCTCAAGTTCCTCGAGCGGTCCTGGCACCTTGGCGAGTGCTCCAGTGATCGCTTTGTGTAGCAAGAGTTGTTACAATGCCCCCGTCTTGAGCACTACCCCCAGGACATGGCAGGAAAACATGTTGACAGGCCCAGTGTGGACATGCTTTGACCAAGAGTCTCTTGGTTGACTCTAATAAGGTAGAGAAGAGCATCTGGGATGTCTTTATCTTTGGCAAAAGGACAGAGGGTTGATTGCATCTCACGCACACACACACACACACACAGGCAGGCCTTGAAGGCCAGGGGCACTCTGGGGGGACCTTCCTAGGTGGTGACTCTCCTCCCCTCCCACAGGACAGAGTGAGTCTGCTGGAGCAGATGACCCGGGAGCATGAGCATTTCCAGGCAGATGTGGACGAGTTCCAGCTGTGGCTGAATGCGGTGGTGGAAAAGGTGAGCAGCTGCCTGGGACGGAGCTGCAAACTGTCCACCCAGCACTCTCTCTCCATGCTGCAGGTAAACTGGGCTGTGTCTCGGTCAGAGGGGGCCACTGAGGAAACGCTCAGATATGGGGGCTCTGTGTTGTCGTTTGTTTAATAGGGTGTGCTGGGGGCCACAGGAGATACAAAATCCACGGCACACAGACCCCACATGAGAAGCATGGAATCTAGTGCAATATGTTTGGGGCCTCGGCTGCTTTCTGGAAATCTCTGAGCCAGCAGGGCATTTGGAAACCCAAGGCTAGGGCAGCATGGTCTGGACCAGTGGGTCTCAAATAGGGGACATTCCAGCGATGTCTGAAGATACCTTTTGGTGGTTACAGTGGGGGGTGGAGATGCTAATGGCATCTAGTGGGTGGAGGCCGGAGATGCTGTGACGCATCTTGTGACGCACAGGGCAGCCTCCACAATGGAGTGACCCCACTGCAGGTGTCAGTATGCCTTGGGTAAGGAACCCTGGCGTAGGCATCAGGCCTGTGGTGGTGAGAGGCTTGGTCCACTCTGGCCTTCCTGAATGGCTGTGACCTTGAATGAGCTTCTGACGTCCTCTGTAAAGGGAGTGTTAATTACCGTCAGTAATTCAAGGACCACGTTATAAGTTTTGCCACAGATATACAGCCCCTGTACCATTTATTTCATATTTGTACTTAAGGTGACTCTTTTTTAAAAAAACCAATGAACAATGACCCAAAAACATCTTACATGACTAGTATGAGAATGTTCATCGGACCGTATTTGTAATAGTTCCAAACTGAAAGCAAACTCAGATTTTAATCAGCAGAGTAGTGGATAAACATATCGTGGAACAGGAGAGATATATGTATATATGAATATACATGTGAACAGGAGATATATATATACACACACATATATATGAATAATACTCACAATAAAAAAAATAAAGTACTAATATATACAACAACATGGAAGAATCTGAAGGGCATTTTGCTGAAAGAAGCCAGTTTCCAAAGCTAATATATTCTATGATTTCAGATATGTGGAGTTCTAGAAGCTTTTGGGATATTAGAAATGCTCTACATTTTGATCACAGTGTGGACTACACGGGTGTGAATGTTTCTCAAAACCATCTGAACGGTAGTGCTTAGGATCTATATACTTGACTCCATGCGTTGACACTTCGATAAAAAAGTGAAATATTTTGAAGGCACTTTCAAACAAAATAGATTTAAAGGTGTTTATATAAATGTTTTTAATTAAAAGTGGATGAATATTTTATTTGAAGGGAAAATTTACATCATTGTCGTGAATGGAAAACCAGCACTCACTCCTAATTTGTAGAGAACCATAAAATAAATATAATGAAACCAAATGGGGTCACTAGGCTCTCTTTGGCTCCATACTTCTGCCCGCCGAAGGCTCCAGGCCTGAGGCTGCCTCCGTCCTTGGTAAAAAGGAAGATCAAAAAACGTCAGAGAGGGTTGAAGACAGAAAGACCCAACAGAGATTTTCTCCTTGACTTAATCAAATGGCTATAAAAGACACGGGAAGGGAATTCTGTCCTCACCTTATGAGTCAATGCTACGAAGGCAGACAGTCCACTCCTTGGAAAGGCGCCCCGGACTCTAACCTGGGAATCAGGGATGGGTGTTTAGCATGACCTTCCCCGGGGCTCGGGAAAATGCAGCCGATGTTTTCTGTCTTCCCTCATGTGTTTCTCTCTCCCGCCACCCCCCCCCCGCCCCCTTTAGGACATCGCCAATGATTTTCCCCGGGGTGAGAAGTCCTTGAGCAGGCTGGAGGAACAGGCTGTGGGCGTCATCCAGAACACCTCTCCTCTGGGTGCAGAGAGGATCACCGAGGGACTGGAGGACATGCACAGAGTTCTGGAGAAGATGCGCGTCCTCCGGGAGGAGGAGGAGGAGCGGCTGCAGGGCCAGCTCAGGTCCATGGGGGCCAGTGAGCAGCAGTGGCGGCAGCTGGAAGCCGAGCTGGGAGAGTTCAGGAAGGACCTCCAGAGGCTGGCCAAGGAGGGCCTGGAACCCGCAGCGAAGGCGGGGACCGAGGACGAGCTGGTGGCCCGCTGGAGACTCTACTCGGTAAGCAGCTTTTGGCTAAGACATGGACTGTCCAGGTGCCCTGTGTGCCTTGGAGCCTCACCACTTGGAGCTCCCTTGCCTGGGGGGGTGGGGGGCGCGAATCAAGCTAAGCCTTAAGTACACTCACTTTGGTTTCCCTGGATCTTTGGTAACCTGAGTTCCCTGGGTGTAAATATGCAAGTTGGGTGTTTGTACCCATTTTCCAGATGAGGAAACTGAGGCCTGGAGAGATTTCACTCCCCCCACCCCCAACATCCCCAGGATCAAACGATGAGTCAGAGGGTAAATAAGACCAGAGGTAGATTGGCTTTGAGTTTGCCATTCCCTTGCCCAGTGGTGCGATATGGGGTGGACTTCCTGAGACCAGAGCAGGGAGAGTTAGGTTAGAGGGAAAGTTCTTGAGTGTAGAGATGATGGGGTTCTGGGGAGACCCAGCAGACAGTGCCCATCCTGGGAGGGTGGGGTGGCTTCCCACCCAGACACAGCGTGCAGTCAGATTGCGTTTGCCTTCCTCCCACCCGTGTACACACTCAGGAGGTCTGACTTATGGACAGAGAGATTTCTAAATAAGGATTCACATCCTCCCCCACTCCTATCTTTACTTATTAACTCACTGGGTGAGCTCCACATTAGCACCATTAGGGGAAATGTCTAAAAGAACTACCCAGATCCCACCTCCAGTCTGCATTGTTATTCTATTTTTTCTCTTCCTTCTAATGCTTGCCCATCTGCAAAAATATTTTTGTGTGGGTAGAAACAAGGCACATAGTCTTTAGGGCTCACTGAGCCTCGTAGCAGCCCAGATTCCACTGTAGGGACCACCTTTGCCCGGAGGGAACGTGCTTCCTCTTTAGGACTGTCCGCCTCAGCACAGGTGGAGGTGGCGAGCACAGGGGTCAAGGGCAGGGGCTTTCGGGTCAGACTGCCTGGGCGCAGGTCCAGCGTTCTCTCCTTGCTAACTGCGTGGTCCTGGGAGAGGTGCTTTAAACCTCAGTTGTATGCACAACAGGAATGAACCCATGAAAGCTTAACAAGTGCTTAGCATAGCACCTGCCAAAGCCAGTTCTCAAAGAGGACAAACTCGGGAGGGAAAGCCTAGAAAGCCCTGCTTCTGTCCCACCACGAGAGCTTCTTGCCTGCGCCCGGCTGTGTCTCAGGAAGCCTGTCCTGAGGCAGGAGGCTGACCACCTCCCTATGAACTCTCTGACCCACCTGGTTCCAGTGTCTTCTCAATTACAGTCAAGCTGTGACTAACCGCAATCAATGAAAGGAAGTGTGGAATTTCTGACTCAAGACTTTTGTTCGTAAGGGAGCATTCACACGGTTGCTGTTTTTGCACTTACTATGTGTTCTGTAGGAAGAAGCAGGCACACACACCTGACCTGCTCCAACCCAGCCCTCGGAGTGGCGGGGTGCCCTGGGACGAGGCCCACGAAACCCACCTGGTTCGGCCGGGAGCAGCTGTGGCCCAGCAGAGCAGGGGAAAGGTAGAGGGCACTTATCCCATCTTGCACCAAGAAGGAAATGTGGACTGTTCCCTCTATTGAGAAACAGGCCCACTTCAGAGAAGATGGTGTTATCAGGACCCCAGGTGAAAAAGCTACATGTTCACCTTCAAACCGACACAGTCCGGTTATTATTTACCTGGCATGCAATGTGCTGAGTGCTGGACAAACCTCAGCGGGGGGGCGGGGGGGCACTGCCATGATCCCCTTTTATAGATAGGGAAACTGAGGCACTCATGAGTTGAAGACTTGCCTGTGGTTATGCACCCTACAGGTGGAGGCAGGGATTTGAACTTGAACCTAGACAGTCTAACTCTAGAGCACATGCTTCTAACCCACTGTACCAGCTCAGACTCCCAGCTTTAGCAAATTAGCATAGTGAGAGGCAAGGACCAGGAGCAAGGACATTGGAGCTCAGGCTGGCCGTGATGTCCTGATCTCTCTGTCCCAGTCCCGAGACCGGCCCCCACAGAGAACCGGGGGCGGGGGAAGTGATCTGTTGCATCCCCCTGCGGACCGGGCAGGACCATTCATCAGCTTCAGGGAGACTTTTTGCAGCTGAAGTTGAAATCAGAGCGGTTTTGTGGCTAACGCAGCATCGACCACAGCTGCCTCACATGGCCCCCCTCCCGGGCATCCCAGCAATCCAGAAACTCAAGATGCCCACATTGTGGGTGCAGAAGGCCAAGTCTCTCTTGTCCACAGGCTGGCCAGCCTTCCTGGGAGCGGGTGTGCGGGGCTTCCTCGCGAATGGTTTGGAAACTGCGAGTTCACACACACCAGTTGTGTCTTCCTCTTCTATGAAAACTTGTACGGATTTCATTACATTTGCTTCATGATTGAATGTGGACAGATTCCACCTCCCGCGGCCCATACAGTGTTCCCTCCTGCCCTAGCGGCTGCCTCCCATCCGTCTGAGCTTGCGCCCTTGAGCTCCACACTGGTCCCAGTTCACTTGTGGTTTGCCCAAGACTGAGGCTGGCTGGTTCACTAGTCCCTGTGAGTGGAGGATCTGGACCAAGGCTCAAGGTTGCATGGGGGCCAGCTGGGGAGGGGTACGGCCAGGCTCCTGCTCTGTACCCAGTGCCTGGTCAAGGGGGTGGCCCCATTTTACCAATGACGGAACAGTCCGGGGTTGCCCAGCTAGGAAGGGGTCGAGGGGGTTTCCCGGACAGCCTGTGTCATGCTAAAGCCCAGCCCTTTCCACTACCCCGTCTCACCTCCTACTCAGCACGGGCCCAGCAAGCGTCAAGGTCAGGGTCAAATTCCGCACTTCCTACGACAGCAGGAAAGGACTGTGTCTGGTGTCAGAATGCAGTCCAGCGAGTGGAGTGGTTCGGGAGTGCTCAGAGGAAATATCCTCTCGGCCTGCCAATAACACGAACCAGATTCACAAAGCACCTTAGATTGTTGTTTTCCTTTAGTGCCGCAGAGTCTAAGAGCCAGAGGGCCCAGCTCCCATGTCAGGTCCACTGTCTGCTTGCCCCACAACCGTCAGGAAACTCTCAGCCAGAGTTCCCTTGGGTATACAATGGGGACACGGAGAATTACTTCCTAGGGTCTTTGCCCAGCTTCAGTGAATGGGACACCCAGAGCACTCAGCGTGGTGCAGTGTTCCCAAGATACTCGTTATTTGTATTATTAGGTGCGGGCCCTCAGGACAACACTGAGGTCAGTGATAATAGAAAAGCCAGCTTGGTGAGAGCAAATGCCAAGGTCAGGGCACAGAGCAGGAGAGCGAGGCTGAGCTTCCAGAGACCCCAGTCCCTGCCCTGGGTGATGGGCTTCTCCCAGGCTAGCCCACTCCCATCTGCCACGCTCGCGCCCCAGTCTCTGACTCTCCCACGCCCCTCTGGTTTCATCCCTGTGTCGTAGGCGACGCGGACAGCGCTGGTGGCCGAAGAGCCCCGGGTGGCCCGGCTGCAGGCCCAGCTGAAGGAGCTCATCACCCTCTCCCGTGACCCGCAGCCTCTCTCCGACAGCGTGGTCGCTGCCCTCCAGGAGTTCCAGAGGTATCCGGGCTGAGGGAGGTGGGACTCGGGCTGTGCCTTGAACCTCACACTCAAAGGGTCTTCTGACCTCATCAAAGACCATCACACCTGGGTAACCCTAACATAATTCTGGCGCCCTCAACCCCTGGTATTTTGTTCCCAGAAGGAGGACTGGACTTAGCTTTGTTCCATGCGGTGTGGCTCATTCACCGATTTCCATCCCGTCTCTGTGTAGCATCACACTGGGGAGGCATCCACCACATAATGGCCCAAAGGGAGGGCTCTTCAATAGAAAAACACCACCCCCCTGCCTGCAGATGGTGCTGACTCAGCATCCGAGCCTGTCTTCAGACCAGCCTCTACCTCTGCCTTGGCCCATGGGCTCAGGCAGAGCCGGGGCTCCAGTGTCCTAGCTCAGCAAACACCAGCAGATCAAATATCCACCTGCGCTGGAGCTGAGCACCGTGTAAATTTGCAACCTGTAGCTATTTTTGCTCCGTGAGCCTCAGAGGTGTTGTGAACACAGCACAACTGTCCACAGATCCAGAGCACCTTGCATCCTTCTGCCTGATACAGAGTTTCCTTCCAAATGAACTTGGGGGGCTCCCTCTTGCTGTGAGTCTATACCTCAGAGCAGGGGCCTGGATCCAGCTTCTCTTGTTGAGGTTTTATGTGCTGGCTCTCTATGACTGGATGTTGTAGTTGAGAGATTATTTCCAGAAATTATTAAGGCCCAGGATGATGGTCTCTTCGATTTTGCTTTAGCTCCTGCGAGGTGCCTGGGGATAGGCAGTATCAGGCTAGGGGCTCCATGATTTCTCTTTGAGGCTTGAGGTTCTCTGGTCATGAGGCTGAGCTGCAAGTCTATCTGAGAACTGGCTTACTTCAGTGCACGTTAATCCAGAGGGGGAGACCTCTGAAGCCCCATGGCCACTCCCAGCAGCCTGTAGATGGGGGAGAGCCCGCCATGGGGATAGTGTGTGCTGGGCTGCCTCAGGGTCCCAGTAGAGGCCTCAGTTCTGAACTGACCCCCTCTCTCCCCCTTGCAGCATGAAGGGGAAGAGCACCAAGCTTCGCAATGCCACAGGGCTGGAGCTGTGGCAGTGTTTCCAGCGGCCTCTGCAGGATCTGCAGCTGTGGAGGGCCCTGGCCCAGAGGCTCCTGGATGTTACCGCCAGCCTGCCAGACCTGCCCTCCATTCACACCTTCCTGCCCCAGATCGAGGTAACTAGGTCCCACCAGGAGGGCTGACCAGTGCAGGGGCGGCGGGGAGGAGGGAGGCCCCCAGCCAGACATGACACTGTAGCCAGACTTCCAGGGAAAGACGTGTTCCTGGGTGCTTCAGGAATCTGGATAGAGCTCGCCGCACCCTGCCTGGCCAAGTCCTGAGTTGGCACAGGAAATGTTTTCAGTGACAAAGGTCATCCTCAATTCTTAGGTGACCTCAGGACTTTGTACTGACCCTCCCACACCCTTTCCCTCTAGGATCCTCCTGCAGATGGTCCTCTGGGGGAAGCATGAGCAATTCTGAGGGAGAGCATGTGAGGCCATTACCTTTACTGCATGTGTATCAGTTAGGATGCATGTAACAAGTGACAGAAATTCTGACCAACGGCAGCTTAAAATCCAGAGACTTCCAGGTGGTTCAGGGCTGGCTTGGTAGCTCAGCAGTATCTTCTAGGACCCAGGCTCTTTCTAGCTCCAAGCCACATCTCCCTTCATAGCCCCAAGGTGGCTGCCACCACAGCAAGCTTGCATCTTCACGTGAACAACATCTTGTTCAGGAAGGAACAGCAAGGGGCAAAAAGGCTTTCTCTATTCACCATTTCAAACAGGGAGCAAACCATCCTTCCCAGAAGCCCCAGCAGATTCCGTACATCTCTTTGGCCAGGTCACATGACTGTCTCTCGGTCAATCACTGGCTGAGAATGATGGGATTGCCAGGACCGGCTTATACGGATTACAGACATAACCCTGTGTTAAAATGTGATCAAAGAAGACAATTTAGATGATACGAACAAACTTTATTTAACACTTCATGAAGTGGACAGCCTCCTTTCGGAGAGCTGCAAAATGGGGCAGACGGCAGGAAGGTTTCATAGGATAAAGAATAAAGAACAAGGAAAAGACAGATAGAAAATATCTGATTGGCCAATGGCCAGCCTTGTTTGGGTTGAGAAGGCCGAGAGTTGGCTTGATGTTTGGGGATCGCAGACTAGATATACTGCGTTTCTGGCCAAGCAGAGCATTTACGAGAACTCAAAACTTACCTGGAAGTTTCACTCTGTTGCTTGGCATCCAGGGTGGAAGCAGCCCCATCTTGACCCTAGAAATTTATTTCAACACCTGAAACTGGGCACTTTGCCATCTAGACACAATGCTGGTTGTTGGGTGAGCAAGAAGGAGGAATGAACGTTGGGTGAGCAGACGGTGGCGTCTACCACAACTGCCCATCAACAGGCAGGCTCTGATTAGCCTGTCAACACTGCCTGATGGTATCCTTTGGAGCTCTGACGTCCATAAAATACTTTCAGGTCCAGCGAGTCTAAGACATACTGAGTGGGAGGAGACACAAAAGAGTATCAGATATAAGCCTCATTTTATATTAATTTTCATTCTGGTTATGAAAGTCATGCCTGCTTGGAGATGTAAAGATTTGTGAAGAAGGAAACAAAAAACACCCAAAATCCCACAAGCCCTTAGGACCACTGTTAACATGTGGAGGGACACAACATCACATTTTCTATCCAACCTGGTATTTCTGGGGAGGCCCTTCAACCCATGTAAAATTCACTTTGGGGAGCCCTGAGGATTTTACATGTGTCAGGAAAATCAGTTTTAGCTCAGACAATCCCAAGCAATACCCTTTATATCTGATGAAAATCCATCTAGCCATTTCTATGCAATATGGTCACCAATAGACAGAAGCCTTAAATAATTCATGACAATTTTCGCGTATTTGGGATCATGTTATATAGTTGTATATCCTGATATTTTTGGTTGGCACATCTGAGCTTTTTCTTGGCACAGGGGACACCTCCAGATCACCTGGCCTGGAGACCAGCAAGGTTTACAATTGCGGTCCCACAGAACTATATATATTCGCATAGGAGCTGCTGCCTGAGGGTCTGGCTTCTAATCAGCCTGAAACTGGATGTTGATTGATTCCCACCCCCCCCGCACACTGGCAGGTCTCGGTACTCCGTCAACAATGGGAGCTATTAGAAAGAAATCAGGCTGGTGGTGCCTGGCTGGCTCATTTGGTAGAGCACGCCACTCTTGAGCTCAGGGTCATGAGTTCGAGCCCCATGTTGGGCATAAAGCTTACTTTAAAAAAAAAAAAAAAAACCAAAAACAGCCTGCTTAGACAATCACAAAAGTTCAAGAGACAACCAAGAGCTAGGGTAAGGTTGAACAATAAGTTTTATATCCTATACAAGGCCACTCCTTCAAGCCTGGAAGAGGTGGCTGCTTCGCCTAATACATAGAAACAAACACTGATTGCTAAGCAAAATGAGGAAACAGAGGAATATGTTCCAAATGAAAGAGCAAGGTAAAACCTCAGGAAAAAAAACCCTAATGAAATGGAAATTAAGTAGTATACCTGATACAGAGTCCAAAGTCATGGTCATAAAGATGCTCACTGATTTTGGGAGAAGAATGGATGAACGCAGCGAGAACTTCAACAACAACAAAAAATAAAATACAAGAGAGTATCAAACAGAAGTCACAGAACCAAAGAATACAGTGACTGAACTGAAAAATACACTAGAGGGTTCAGGAGCAGACGACATGCAGCAGAAGGGACCCGTGATCTAGAAGACAGGGTACTGGAGCACACTCAGAGCAGCAAAAAGAAAAAAATAATTTTAAAAAGTGCAAATAGCTTAAGGGACCTCTGAGACAACATCAGACAGAACAACATTTGCATTATGGATGTCCCAGAAGGAGAAGAGATATAAACGGGGCGGGGGGGGGGGCAGAAAACTTACTTGAAGAAGTAAAGCCTGAAAACTTCCCTAACCCGGGGAAGGAAACAAACATCCAGGTCCAGGAAACTCAGCGAGCTCCAAATAAGATGAACCCCAAGTGACCCATAGCGAGACACATGATAATTAAAATGTCAAAACTTAAAGAAAGAATCTTAAAAGTAGCAAGAGAAAAATAATGTGTTATGTACGAGGGAAGCTTCCGGAGACTATAGGCAGATTTTTCAGCAGAAACTGGGCAGAGGTTTCTGAATAGGCATTTTTCCAAAGAAAACATACAGGTGGCCAACAGGCATATGAAAATGCGTTCAACAGCACTCATCATCTGGGAAATGCAAAACCACAATGAGATATCACCTCACACCTGTCAGAATGGCTAGGATTAAAAAGATAAGAAATAACAAGTGTTAGGGAGGATATGGAGAAAAGGGAACCCTCGTGCACTGTTGGTGGGGATATAAAGTGGTGCAGCCACTGTGGAAAACAGTATGGAAGGTCCTCAAAAAATTAAAAATAGGGGCGCCTGGGTGGCTCGGTCAGTTAAGCGACTGCCTTCGGCTCAGGTCATGATCCTGGAGTCCCGGGATCGAGTCCCGCGTCGGGCTCCCTGCTCGGCGGGGAGTCTGCTTCTCCCTCTGACCTTCTTCCCTCTCGTGCTCTCTCTGTCTTTCAAATAAATAAAATCTTTAAAAAATTAAAAATAGAACTACCCTATGATTCAGCAATTCCACTTCTGGGTATTTATCTAAAGAAAACAAAAAACACTAATTCGGAAAGGTATCTGCACCTCCATGTTCATTGCATCATTATTTACAATAGTGAAGGCCTGAAAACAACCAAAGTGTCCACTGATGGATGAATGGATGAAAGAAGATGTGATAAATATGTCATATATTTATCATATATATATAATGGAATGCTACTACTCAGCCATAAAAAAGAATGAAATCTTGCCACTTAAAGTAACATGGATGGATCTTGGGGGTATTATATTAAGTGAAATAAGTCAAGCAGAGAAAGACAAATACCACAACGATCCCACCTCTATGTGGAATCTCAAAAAACAAACAAAACAAAACTTGTAGACACAGAGAACAGAATGATGGTGGCCAATGGGGCGGGGTGTCGGGGGTAGGGAAAATGGGTGAAGGGGGTACAAGGGGTACAAACTTGCAGTTATAGAATAAATAAGTCATGGGAATGTCAGGTCCAGCCTGGTGACTATAGTCAATATTGTAATGCATAGTGAAAGTTGCCAAAAGAGTAAATCTTAAAAGTTCTCATTGTCATAAGGAAAAAATAATTTTAACTTTCTATGGTGACAGATGGTACTAGATTTATTGTGGTGATCATTTTCGCAGCATATACGAATATCGACTCGTTATGTTGTGCATCTGAAACCAATATAATGTTATATGTCTATTATACTTCAACTACAAATTTAAGGAAAAAAGATAAAATGTTTCCAAAAAGTCATCACTCTAAATGGCTGCATAATATGCTTTTCCATTCTTACAATATTTAGGTTGTTTCCAGTTTTCCTTGTCATCAGTTGTCTATGTACACAGATTTTGATCTCCATTTCCATCATTTTTCTCCTCATGTTGCTGATGAGGGACCGGAGCCAGAGAGAAGTTAGGGCGTTTGTTCAAGGTCAGGCCACTTGAGAGGCAGAGCTGAAGCCAGAATGGTGGGTTCTAGCCTCTCCTCTTATGTTCCTATTCCTGCTGTCACACTGGGTCCTGGGAACAGGTTTATGAAGCAGGCAGGACAATTTTATTATTATCCTTTGTTAAGGAAACCGTGTCCCAGAGAGGGGAAGGCACTTGCTCAAGGTCACACAGCAACTGAGTGTCAGGGCTGGCTTTGACCCCGGTCTGTTTGACTCGGCGCCAGGTGCTTTTCCCGCTGGATCACAATTGCATTTCCGTCCTGTCCTTCTCGCTGGAGCAGAAAGCTAACCAGGACCTGTGCCAGGCAGGAGAGAGAGGTACTGTCTTTCTAGAATGTGACTCAGGACTCCCAGGACAGGAGTTTCACAGAGCAGTGTTTTGGAAAAGTGGACAGGACGGGGTTTGTCCATGTTTAAATGCTGTTTGCTGCTGGGATCTTGTCTGGGATTATGCTCACCAGGCTTTCCCAGGAAGGATGGCTTTCAGGGGCTAAGCTCAAGCTGCCAGCCCTATATTTCTTGGCTCAGCTCCTACACCTAGCCTCAGAGTAGCCTATGGACCTGCAAAGTTCCTCTAGAACTGAGACACCAGGCCCCAACGTTGGACATGGCTGAAATATTCGTTTCCGGGGGTGACTGTAACAAAGTGCCCAAACTCGGTAGCTTAGAGCAACAGAACCTCATTCTGTCATGGTTCCAGAGACGGCAAGGCCACGATCAGGGTGTCTGGAGGGCCCTGCCGTCTCTGAAGCCTCTAGGGGAGAAGTCTTCCCTGCTTCTACTAGCTCCTGGTGTTTGCTGGTGGTTGTTGGTGTTCACTGGCCTGTAGACGCAATCCTCCAATCTCGGCCTCTGTGGTCACGTGGACAGCTTCTCCCCTTCTCTTCCCTCCGAGTGTGTGTGTCTGCAGATTTCCCCTTTTAATAAGCGCATGGGTCACATTGGATTAGGGTCCACCCTAGCGACCTCATTTCAACTTGGTTACCTCGGTAAAGACCCTATCTCCAAATAAAGTCACATTCGGAGGTAGTTGTGGGGGGTGGTGGCTAAGCCTTCATATCTTTTTGCAAGGGACACAGTTCATCCCATAAGAGCTGGTGTAATGACCCTAGCGGAGAAGGGCCGTCTGTTAGTGTGTGCTCGCTGTGGGTTGTGCACCATGTTAAATGCTGTCTAGGCCTCCCCTCATGTCGGCCTCATACAGCCCCATTGAGTTGGGTGTGACTACGCCCGTTTTGCAGATAAGGAAACTGAGTCTCAGAACTACCCAAGTCCTCCCAGCTAGTACGGAATTCACACTCACAGTGGCCAGGCCGAATTCTGAACTCCTGTGTCCAGGTTTGCTGAAAAGGGAGTGCAGGGCACCCTCTCCCTAAAGAGGCTTGTCCTCTCTGTGGCTGATCACAAGCCACATGCCCCCGTGGGGAGGTTACACTAATTCCGCTGTGTCCGCCATGTTTCTGCTGTCCTTCCTCCAGGGGATTCTCCCTGCCCTCCCAGGGCTGCTGGCAAAACTGCCCTCTCCAGGGAGCCTTCTTGGATTTCCCCAACCAGGAGTGTTCAGCTCTGCCTTGAACACCCATAGGGCTCTGTCGAAACTTTAAGGGAATTGATCACTTTGTGCCCTGAATTATAGTTACCTACCTGGCCGGGGGTCTTTGTTCTTCCTTCCCAGCTCTGTGGGTAGCTCAGTATCTCAGCAACATCACAGGTATAAAATGGAAGGACTCTGGCCAGCTAAAGACAAGACCCTTGGCCTCCGGGCCCCTGGGCCCTCAGAGCAGCAAGACGTGTTTATCCCAAGCAGCGAATGAAGCAGCAGGAACCCGAGGCTTGGCCCAGGGCTTTGGGGCGGGAAGAGGGAGTGTAGGCTGGGGATGTGGTCAGGGCAGGCTTCCCGGAGGAGGTGGGGCCTGGGCTGTGCTGAGTTCCGGCTGCGTGGGAGCCAGCTACTCATCACATAAGTCTCCTTTAGGTCCTTCCTTCACCTGGCGAGCTCCTACACATCACGATTCCACGCGGGTGTCACCTCCTCTGGGGGGGGCCTTCCTGAATTCCCACTGACCATGCTCCCCTAGGCCCCTAGCCCCTTCAGAATGTCCTAAACAGCACCCCCAGGGGTAGTCCCACTGCTGTCGGCGACGGGGGGTGGGGCTCACTGAGGAAAGGATCACCGGACAGTGGCAGTGGGGGTGGCTAGGGAGGAGGTGGAGTTCTTGCCCAGGCTTTGGTGATAAGACAGAAGTGGGGGGTGAGAGAGGAATCGCGTTGACCCTGAAATGCAGGGCCTCCCTGATGCACCCTGCCGCCTCCTCCACCCCCGGCACAAAGGCGTGCATCCCGCGGGGCACGTGCAGCAGGACAGATGCGCTCCTGGACAGCTTCCCAGCCCGGGCCTGCCCTGCCGGGGCCCTGGGCTTACCGGATGCCTTGTCTGCCGTAGGCGGCCCTGGCTGAAAGCTCCCGCTTGAAGGAGCAGCTGACGGCGCTGCAGCTGAAGAAAGACTTGCTGAGGAGCGTCTTCGGCCAGGACAGAGCGGCGGCCCTCTTGGAGCAGGTGGTGAGCTCCGTGCGGGACCGGGACCTGCTGCACAACAGCCTTCTGCAGAGGAAAAGCAAGCTGCAGGTGGGTGGGAGGGAGGGGGGCGGCCTGCATCCCTGCCTCAGCTGCACCACTGGCTGCTGGGTGGCCTGCCCTTTCCCTCTGTCCCTATGGCCTCAGCTCCTCGGCTGTACACCGGGTGCAGTGAACGAGCGAGCCTTCTCACTGGTGTCCTGCACCTGCCGCCCCCACCTCTGCCCCCACCCCCCCCAAGTCCCCCTCTACACCGCTGTCACACAGAACAGGCTTCCCCAGAGGGGTGGGGGCGGGTGTCAAAGGAGAAAATGCAGAGAAAATCGCCTGTAAAATTAAACCACCATAGAGCTGAACGCCAATATTATTAGGAAGACATTTCGGAATGACGACCCCGAAGCTAAGGTGTAAGGTGGAGGGTGGTGGGGAGTGTGTTCCCTCACGTAACAGACGTGAACTGAGCGTGAGCTGCTCACGGGGCTCTGAGAGGGGCCCGCCGGGAGCTTCTTTCACATCCGGGATCCGTCTCACCTGAGGGTCAGTGGGGCAGAGGGTCTCTGCGGCAGCTCATCCAGCTCTGCCCTTGGAGCCGGAGAGCAGCTGTAAAGGAGTGGGCATGGCTGTGTCCCAATAAAACTTTATTTACAAAAACAGGCCTCTGGTGGGATCTGGTGTGGCTGTGTTACGCGATGTAGTTCTGTACTAGAGAGCAGAACAGCCGTCATGTGAGGACCCCACGGTGATTCCAAGGAGGGCGTCCAACCCCTGCAAGGGCTCCAGGAAGGCTTCCTGGAGGGGGTGATGCCTGAGTGGGTATGAGGCCGCCAGGAGAAGGCTGGAGAAAGAGCCGTGTGGTTGTGAGTGGCAGGTTGTACAAGGTGCCTGTGAGGAAATTTCTTAATTTCTGTGCTGCCCGTGTGTGTCTCTGCAGAGCTTGCTGGCCCAACACAAAGATTTTGGGGCTGCTTTTAAGCCCCTCCAGAAGAAGCTCTCAGACCTCCATGGCAGGGTCCAAGCTGAGAATGGGCTTCAGCAGGACCTTCCTGGGAAACAGGCCCAGTTTTCAAGGTTGCAGGTAAGGGCTTGGTGGGGCCCGAGTGGCCTGGCTCGGGTTCTCCACTGCACCCAGAAGCAGCTCCCCTCTGGCAGCAATAACTGACCAAACAGCCATCACCGAGCCCCTTCACTTGAGCTCTGACCTTTTGTCTGAATCGCTGCTGATTTATCTGGTGGTTTCTGGCCTCTGAGAGACCTTTAGTACCTGTGAACTGCTGATTCTGGAGCACAACAAAATGATGTTTACTCTGTGATTCCAAAGTCTAACGTGTGCATTCATTTTTCTTTAAATTGCTTTGCTAAGTGTTCCTCGTGAGTACAGAGGTCCAGTTAAATAATCGGATTTTAAAAGTAAGAATAAATGTTTTAAAACACATGCAGACTGCACACAGGCTGACTGTTGATAATTATCGGCTTGATAAGGAGCTTGCAAGATTTTAAATGCATGCGATACAATTATTTTAAAACTCAAGCATAGCTCATGCATACATTGAGAGGGTTCTTGGGAACACATTAAGAATGGTGCATTTGGGGGCTTTGAAACTCAAGTTGGGGTGTGATTCTTCACAAGGAGAGGTGGTCATCAAGTAAGAATTCAGATGGGAGTTTGCTCCCCAGAGATGCCTTCTAGGCTTGTGTCCCAGAATTTTTTTTTTTTTTGAGATTTTGTTTATTTATTTGACAGAATGAGAGAGAGAGAGAGCTCAAGCAGGGGGAGTGGCAGGCAGAGGGAGAGGGAGAAGCAGACTCCGCTGAGCAGAGAGCCCAACGTAGGGCTTGATCCCAGGACCCTGGGATCATGACCTGAGCCAAAGGCAGACACTTGACAGACTGAGCCACCCAGGCGCCCCATCCCAGAATATTTTTGTCTCCTTTTAAAAAATCTCACCAGCTCTGAGAGGAGGCCCATCAGATGGCCAAATGGTGCAGCTCTTGGGGTGGGGTAGCCCCATCATGCCAGGGCCCTCCCAAGCTCCCCCACTCAGAGGCCCCCCCCCCACCCTGATCAGCTCCCATGACAAGAGGCAAACAGGACAGCCACACTTGCTGCTTTTCCTGCAGGGGCTGCAGGAAGAGGCACTGGACCTGGGGGCACAGATGGAGGCCATGAGGCCTCTTGTCCAGGGGAACCCCGGCCACCAGCACAAAATGGACCAGATTTCCACCGACTACCAGGCCCTACAGAGGTCTCTGGAGGTAAACCCGGGCACCTGGGATCCTACACTCCGGGGGTCTTTCTCTGCCTTTTCTTCCTTTATTCCTTCAAACCTTTCTATTTTTCTTTTTCCCTTCCTTTCTTCTCTTCCTCATTCATTCAGCAGATGATTATTGAGTGCGTCCTGTATGCCAGGCAGTGTTCTGGGCCCCAGCCAGACAGCCAAAGACCCTGCTCCCTGGGGGGTTATATTCTAGTGGGTAGATGGACCATGAGTCAGCAAAACAGCAAGTTCAGATACAAATCCAGGTGTGCCAGGAGGCCAAGGAACAGAACAGGCTGCTCTGCTCCCCATAGCAACCCTGCGGCACAGTGGGCCTTGGCTGTGGTAAGGGCAATTGAACGTTGCGCGGCGGCTGCTCGGAGCCTCCTCTGCAGTGCCCTCTAGCGGCCGCCTGGGGCTCCGTGGGGTCCACACACTTCTGATGGCCCCTTGAGCCCTGGGAATGGAATGGGGTGCAGGCTTCTTCAAAACTGGCCTGAGGACAAGTTTCAGTGGCTGATTCAGATGGGGGCCTGGGTCTGCCTTTGTCACAAGTACCCTGGGGATTGTGGAGCCGGCTGTCAGGCAGCCATGCCTCAAGAAAACTTAGTCTAAGGTGGGCTTCTGCACTCTGCTGGACCCAGCCTATTTATTTATTTATTTATTTATTTATTTATTATTTATTTATTTATATTTAGATTTTATTTATTTGAGAGAGAGAGAGAGAGAATGAGAGATAGAGAGCACGAGAGGGAAGAGGGTCAGAGGGAGAAGCAGACTCCCTGCCGAGCAGGGAGCCCGATGTGGGACTCGATCCCGGGACTCCAGGATCATGACCTGAGCTGAAGGCAGTCGCTTAACCAACTGAGCCACCCAGGCGCAGCCTATTTTAATAACATGTTCCCAACATCCCATGCCATCCCGAAACTCAGAGAGAGTATAAGTGACCCACACAATTTAAGAATGGCATGTAATGCCCTTCCTGTAATAGGAAAGAAAAAAGGCAAGTTAGAATAAAAATGCTTGTCTTTCATGTAAGTGCTGAAGGTGGTCACAGGAAGATGTGCCCCGCCTGGGTGACAGCCAAAATGCCTCTACTTTATGAGATTCTCTGAAAATGTGAACAACCTTTGGTGAAGTTTCAATTGCACCAAAGCGCAGTCTTCCATCAGTTGACGAAATAGAGGCCTTCCTGGAAAAACCAGCGTGTTTATTAGAACTGGAGAAACCTCTGTGTTTGTCAGCTGGGGAAGTGTCCGAGCTCGGGTCATGATGGGCAGGGTTTTCAGCACTGTGGATTCAGGCAGGGCACGAGGAAACCTTGCAGGCCGTGGGGGCAGCAGGCTGGCAACACCTGTCGCTCTCACTGTATCTGCAGGTGTCACCCCTGCCCCATCACTGTCACGGCAATCAAACCCCCCTCCCCCACCCCCACCCCTGCAAGCTTCCAAGAAACACGGCTCCACCTGTAGATGCTCATTGATCTAAGTGATGCATAAGGTCTAGATGAACTGATTTAACTCCACTTAATAAATGAGTGGCTAGTGGTCTCAAGGTTGGGGTGGGGGCGTAGAGAAATAGGAATCACTGTCCCTGCTGCTTGGGAGCTCACAGAACCCAGAGAAACAGCAAACATCAACTTTAATGCCTGCATCTGATGAGTCCGATTGATGGTGATAGTAATTAGAAACAGCATTAACTGAGCATGATTAACGGTGGCCGAATGCTGATACTCCAATGCTCTTGTGACTCTTCATTTATTGTCTACGTACTTCAAAGAAGTCGCGCCCCCCTTTTATTACTGTGGTACTCAGGGCTTTTTAAATCTCATAAGTGCTAATAAGTCCTTCCCCCACAGCCCAGGTGATCCTCCTGTCCCCCCCTGGGGGGCACCTACCCCCCCTAAGGACCCGAGGCTATTGAAAGCATGGGGTCTGAGCTGGTGCTCAGGGGACAGGAGTGGTGGTGGTGGTGGTGACATTGCGGAGAAGCGGAGTCTTAGGTGACTCTTCAGGCTCCGGTCACTGGTTTGTTGCAGGAAGATGAGATGCACTGTCTCTGTGTCCCCAGCTCTAGTGGGCCTGGCCTCCAGTGGTGTCAGCCAGCATCTGGAATGCAGGAGGGCTGGGCCGGTGGTGGCCTCTGCCAGGGATCACAGAGAGACCCTGGGGTCTGAGTGCTCTGCAGTGGGCTGAGAGGGAGTGCTCAGAGGGCCCCAGGTTGGGTGACCAGGAGGACAGGGGCCCTCCTTCCCTGAAGACAGAAGAACAAGGCCCCAGCCTCAGAGAGCTCAGAGTGGCTGACCCAGAGGAGGGGTGGGGGGAAGCAAGACCATTCTCAAAAATTATCAGAGTATAATCATATATAGAAAAGCAAACATCTAAGTGTGTAGTTTGATGAATTTTTTAAAACTCCACATTACCAGTGCCCAGATCATGGCACAGAATAATAGTGGCTTCCCCCAGCCCCCAAAGCCCCTCATGCCCCCCACAGTCACTGCCCACCACTCCTGGCACCTGACTTTCAACTTGGAACACCATGGATTGGGTTTGCCTGATTTTATACGTTATTTTCATTGAATCAGAACGTTTTCTTTTGTCTCTGGCTTCTAGCTTTCCCCCATTCATAATGTATTAGATTGTTGTGTAGATTGCTCATTCTTGCTGCTGTAAAATATTCCACTGTCTGAAGCTACCTCAACATATGTATCCATACTTCTGTTGATGGCCACTTGGGTAGTTTCCGGTTTGGGGCTATCAGAAGCTACACCACACGCATGCCTTTTGGTGAAAATATGTTTGTATCTGTTACGTAGACACCCAGGGGTGAAATGATTGGGTCATAGGGATGCCTGTGTTCAGTTGTAGTAGATACTGACCTGTGGTTTCCCCCAGTGGTGTATGATTGATACCCACACTAGCAGTGGGCAGGAGTTCCAATTGCCCACACCCTCATCCAGACATGGTACCGTCTATAAAAGTTAAGACAGGCTTAGAGATACTTTAAACCAGAGTTGGTCTTTCCAGAATAAATTCCCTGTCCTGGGCAGAAGGGAGGACTCACCTCTTGTGTTCCTGCTGGGTGGGGAGCCCTGGCAGGGGTGCATCTTGCCCCGGGGCAGGTCCGGGGGTCCTGCAGGATGGAGGGGCCCGGAGTCCCAGTGGCCACCAGCGCTCAGAGCGCCCTGGGCCCCCCGGGGCTGTGCTACAGGACCTCATGGACAGGAGCCAGCAGAGTGTGCGGGAACACTGCACCTTCCGCCACGAGCTGCTGGAGCTGCGACAGTGGATTGCCATGGTCACTCAGAAGCTGGAATCACACCAGGAGGATGTGGGCACATGGGACGCCCAGTCCCAGGAGGTCAAAGTCGAGGTAAGGTGGCTGTCCCAGGTCCCTCACTTGCCTCCCAGAAGGCAGGCTTGGGAGGCCAAAGATTCTACATGGGGGAGCGGAGACCCCTGCCCCGAGAGCTCACCGTGGGGGGCTGTGTGTGCACATGTGTGTCCTTTAGAGGCTGCTGGCTGAACTCCCGGAGAAGGAGGCCCAGCTGCCCCTGGTCGAAGCACACGGCCGGCTGGTGATGAAGAAGTCTTCTCCGGAAGGGGCTGCCATCGTCCAGGAGGAGCTAAAGGAGCTGATGGAGTCGTGGCAGGCCCTGAGGCAGCTGGAGGAAAGCCTGCTGAGGTGAAGGGGGTCCCCGGCTCTGAGCCTGGTCTCAGGCAACACCCCCTTTCTGTGCAGGGGAGAGCTCAGTGGTGCCCTTGGAACAGGAGGCTGGGTTTCGGCTGGGTGCCGAGCATGGCACCAGGTGCCTCCGTGCATCTCCGCTTTGGCCCAAGGACAGTTCTAGTAGGAGCAGTAGAAGCCAGGGAGTGCCCCAGCGGGGGGGTGAGCCTCCAGCCCGTGCTGGCTTGGGCCTCGCCTGCATCGATGGGTATAAGCACTTTAATGACAGCGTAAGGTGGGTCTCCAGTGGGAAACTGGGAATGCACGTGCCTGGGGAACATTCTGACAAACCCGAAGGATAGTCGACCTGAAAGATCGTCTCCTACCACGTGATGCCCCGGTGACCTGGCGAGTCTCCATTGCATCACCGCGGTGACTGGGCCGTTTGTCTCCTCAGCCTCATCAGAAACCAGCAGCTGCAGAAGACGGAAGTGGATTCAGGGAAGAAAATGATTTTCACCAACAACATCCCGAAGGCCGGGTTTCTCATCGATCCTGTGGATCCTGTTTCCAGGCGTCCCCATCGGGTGCGTCTGCCTAGCGGGGCTCCCTGGGCCCTGGGAGGCTGGGGCCGGAGTCAGGGATGTGGGGGGTGGTCTTCCACAAAGCCCCCTCCTCACCTGGGGCCACATGCTCAGCTCAGGACTCGGCCACGTCCCATCCTGGGTGAACCTGGCCCTGCTCCTTGTGCCACGGCACAGAGGGACCCAGAGACCCCAGACCCAGGCCACAGGAAAGGTCAGAAGCGTCCCTCGGGCAGACAGGTCCTCAGCCCTCAGAGAAGAGGTAGCCAGCCGGCCCTACAGGGCTGAGAGCTTCCTGCTGGCCCCGGATTGCAAACTGCCATCATGCAGGCTGGGTCCCTTTTTCGTGCCATAAGCTGTATTTTGTTCAAAAGATCTAGCCTAACGACCTAGTGTCGTCCATCCCTTCTCTTGACGGCTTTTAAAACAAGGAACCGCATTGAAAAGACGTTCCTTCCTCGTTCTTCAGAAACCACATGCCAGCTCTCAGTCTCCCCTGTATTCTTGTACTGCCCCTTCCCGAATCACCTACCGAGTGTGGCTGTGCCCGGAGGCCTGCGCTTGGGGCCAGGGCCAGCTGTGGGCGAGGCAGAGGCGCTTCTAACCTGCAGGAATGCAGACCCCAGCGCAGAGCCTCTGACACCGCAGCGTGCTCCCTGTGCATAGGAAAACGCAGATCCCGCTTCGGCAGGGCCCAGGACTCTGCATTTCTTGAAGCTGGAGGGGGACGCCTGGGCCGCTGGGCCTCGGAGCACATTTTGAGGAGCAAGGAAGTGGGAATCACAGGCAGTTAAGTAAGGGCAGTGGGCCAGGGCAGAGGGCAGATGCTGTAGGAGCTGATGCAGAGGGACCGGGACCCAGTTCTGGGACAGCAAAGGCCTCCTGGGAAAATGTAGGGGAATCCTCACGGCCCAGCGGAAGTCAGGGAGAGGAAAGGAGGGGTGTGTCCCGTGCAGAGGAGACGGTGTGAGAGACACAGAGAGAGAGAGCACAAGTGCCAGGGGTCAAGAGGTATCCGGCGCTCAGGTTCCGGGGGTGGGGGTGTTGGCGGGGAAGGTGGTTCGCGCCACGGGGTCCAGCAGAGCCGGGACTGAGGCTCTCAGAGGGCCACACAGACGGCCTCGCTGGACGGACTTGCATTTTAGACAGCTCCCTCTGGCTGCAGAGCCCGGAGAGGGACAGGTGTGTGCAAGGCTGACCACCGTTATAGCCATCCTGGCAAGGAATGGTGGTGGCTGCCACTAGGAGACCAGCAGGTGACCACGATGACTCACTGTCGCAGCTCCAGCAGCTCAGCGCTGCAAGTGCAGTGATCCTGTGCGGTCTGCAGGCACCCATCCACGAGGTCCTGCAGCACAGCTCCGGGGGGCCCAGGGCACCGGCCCACACTGACCCCCTGGGCCACCCCAACCCCGCAGGACCCCCAGGCCTGAATCAGAATTAAACTCCTAACGTGGCCACACTGAATGGAGAGACGTGCCCCCTCCCACCCAGGCCTCTCTCCTCACCTTTGGGAATCCTCATCCCCACCCTCTGCCTCAGAGGAGACCCCCGGGATGCGGGCCTGGGGGGCTGTTTCACCTCTGATGCGTTGGTCGTGCTGCTGTGCGTTCCTTCAGGCAAACCCACTCCAGGAAGAAGGCAGCCATGAAGGTTTCTCCCAACTCCTGAGGGACTTCGAGCAGTGGTTAGAGGTGGAAAATGCCAAGCTGGTTAGAATCATCGCAATGAGAACGGCCACTGCCAAGGATTTGGAGACCAGGGAAACGAAGCTGCAGGTTTGTTCCCATGGAAAGGCCCTCTGTCCACAGGGTTTGCCCCCATGGACGTGTTTGCCACCAGGGAGTTCTTCAAAAAAAAAAAAGAGCACACACATGGCTTGTGAGCCATTTTTACTTGTGTATAAATAACAGTTCTTAAACTTTTTTGGTTCACATATTTTAGAAGAGCTTTGGAAGAACCATTCATTCATTCAGCCTACATCTGTATTTCCCCAACTTGGAAAATATCACTACTAATCATGACTCTGAAATCAGTTAGCTGTTGCTGTGTAACAAATCATCCCAGCCGTTTGTGGCTTCAGACAGCACATGTTCATTTAAGTCATGATTCAGAAGGTTGGCAATCTAGGCTAAGCCCATCTGGGCTGTGCTTCGGTTTTGTGGGGCTCCCTGATTTGCTATCAGTTATAGGTTGGCCGGGTGGCTCTACTCTGGGGGTTGGCAGGCTGCTGGAGATGAACATGAGATGGACCACACATCTCTTCTCCTCTTGTGGGGCAGCCTAGGCTTCTAGTAGCAGAGGCATCGTCCAAGGGCAAGTGGGAGCACCCAAGGCTTCTGGGGCTTAGAGTAGGAACTGCTGCATTACTTGCCCTGTATTCTGTTGGACAAAGAATCACAAGGCCAAGCCAGATTCATGGGGAGGGAAAACAGACTCCACTTCTTGATGGGAAGGACTCAAGGTCATATTGCAAAGGGAATGGATATGGCGGGGGGAGGTGGGATGGGGGTGTCATGGTCATTTTTGCCATCCTTCTACCACCAATCTTCTTTCTACTCCACTCCCACATCTAAATAGTCCCCCACCCCTCCTGGATTCCACCTCCTGGGTGTGTTTTGTTCTGCACCCTCTTGCTACCACTATGTTAATCTAGGTACTTACCATTTCTGACCTGGATTATGGCAGTAGGCTCTCAGCTGGCCTCCTTCCTTCCTTTTGGGCCCCCATCCAGGTCACGGCTCAATTCTGCAGCCAGAGTGACCTTCAGCATCATAAATCTGGCTTTGTTCTTCCCTTGATGAGAACCTTTCGGTAGAGAATCCAACCCCACCCCACCTTAAGCATATCACGCAAGGTCATTCTCAACCAAGCCCCAGCCTACCTCTCTTTTTCCTTATTTCTCAGCAGTTCTACTATGATACGTTAGGGTTTGGATTTCTTTTTCTCTTATTTGGAATTTGTCTGGATTCTGGAATCTGTGGTCTAGAGTCTTTCTGGAAAATTCTCTGATACTTTCTTAACTTACTGCCTCTTAACATATCGCCTTGTTTCCCTTCCCCTCTCCTTCTGTGTTGCTGCTGAAACATGATATTCCTTCTCACTGTGGGCTCTATGTCTCCTCCCTTCTCTTGTGTCTTGTTCATCCTCCGGTCTCTTCCTGTTGCATTGTGGAGAGTTTTTCTACCCTACCTTCCAGTTTACTAATTCTCTCTTTAGCTGTTTCTCATTCAATATTACACATGTCTGTTATGCCTTCAACTTTTGATACTATATTCCCCAGTTCTAGAATTTCTACCCAGTTCTCTTGAAATACCACTCTGTCACTTTTCGTAGCTTCCGGATCCCTGCGGAACTTTTTAAGCCTGGCTTTTAATTCTTCGAGCCTAGTAAAGAGAACTGTTTTACTGAGTGTGTCTAATAACGAGTGTGTCTAATAATTCTAATGTCTTAAGTCATTTTAGGAACGTTTTTTCTGCGTGTTGTTTCTGCCCATTCTAGTTGTCAGTGTCTTGCATGTATGGGGCTGCTTTGATTATGTGTGAAAGAGGTATAGGGGTCACTTGAGGTTGAGGATCATCTCTTCTCCAGAAGATTTTGTTTGTGGCTTCCAGGCAAGAAGGGCTTTCTTCTTCTGAAGCCAGGGAATCAAAGTTCAATGTTGGAGGCTCTCTGCGCCCCTGGTGACTTGGAGTGGACTTCAGTCCACACAGGGTGTGAGTTTATTTTGGATTCACCTTTAGGAGCCTCAGCCACAGGGGGAGCGGGTTATGAGAGTCCTCCACCCCTACAGAGCCCAGACCTTGACCTTTGTCTCCATAGCCCCATGAGGCTGCCAAAAGCATGATCTGTTTCACAACTGTTTCTTCCAGAACGGCAGGTGTCCTGAAGGCAAAAGCAGGCCTGAACACTGGGCTTACTTCTCTGGGCTTCATCATTTCCCAAATTTTAGCTGATGTGCCTCACCTTCTTGCCAACTCGTTGATGCCTTTTAAGTGTTTTTAATACTTTGGCCTCGGCGAGAGGTTTGGTCCAATCACCTAGGGGATTATGAGCAGGAAGTCCTTCCCGCAGACTTCCTACCTCACATTTGGCCACGACTCATTTCTCGCCATCACTGCCCAACTCCAGCCATATCAGAGATGACTTGCAATTGCTCCCGGTTAAGCCTCCTTACTCTTGTACAGCTCTCATTCTAGTGGGTTCTGAGAAGCTAAGCAAACTGCCCGTATCACACTACGAGCAGGATGGGGTGAAAGCAGGGCTACAAAGTCAGAATTTAGACCCACGCACTCCGATTTAGAGCTCCACTCCTACCCCTACATCACTACGGCTCAGGAGTCTTGAGGATTATCTGCCCAATCCCAATAGCACACGTCCAGGCTTAACCATGCCAACAGAAAAGTAGTAGCTTTTTATAATGATGGCAACTCTTATGTCAAGCCCTCCAGAGGACTCAGTTCTAGAACATCAGGGATGGAAGTGACCATGGAGGTCATTCTGTATTGTTCCAGAAAGCAACTGCCCGTGAATTTGCACGATGGGATTCTCACTTTACAGGCTCTGCCAGCCTCCTCTGAAATGAAATTTGATTGGCTTCTCCTGACCGGCCCGGTGGGGCCGTCTGGGCCATCTGGAAGGCACACGTGACACTGCTTTTCCCCCACAGGAGCTGGAGGCTCGGGTGCCAGAAGGTCAGCATCTCTTCGAGAACCTCCTCCATCTCGGGCCAGCAAGGGGGACCTCCAACGAGCTGGAGGACTTGCGTTACCAGTGGATGCTGTACAAGTCCAAGCTCAAGGACTCTGGCTACCTGCTGGTAGGTGCTAAGGAAGCACGGGCCCCAGGTCCCGGGGATGGGACTCCGGCTGAGCCCAGGCTCATGTGAGGAGACAGAGCTGGGCCATGCTCACGGGTCCTAGTGCTTGGCTTTAAGATGTCACGTGGCCGTCCTGCCACCCCATGTGGCTGGCACTCCAGGAACGATGGCAGGAGCCATCCCGGTTAATGTTTCAGGAGCGCTTTGCTGCCTTCTGAGCTGAAACCTTCGGGACCCCATTCAGTCCTGTCTCCAGTCTCCAAAGGGGGTGGGGGCTGAGACTCTGAGAACTGGAACTTCCGGGGTCATGGAGCTAGGAAGCAGCAGAGCCAGCACTCAGGACGCCCCGCTGGGGAAGGTGTGATAGAGGGGAGCATGGCCCCAGGGTTCCCGTGTGCCTTTGCACAAAACAATAGTAATAGCCACGAGAGCCTTTATGAAATGCAATGTCCTCATAACAACCCTATAAAGGAGATGCTGTTGTTATTCCCTGAGAAGCGATGGGGAAACTGAGGCACAAGGGTTAGCCCCAGATGGAGGGCCTTTGAGATGGCCTCCCCAGACGCTAAGCTTTGGTGCTCCAGCTCCTTGGTCCCTGCAACAGCCATGCTGGCCACTAGGTGTCAGTGCAGCCCCAGCCTGGTGGCCGCCCCCCAGGCCTTCCTAGCCCGGAATCCCACCTGGGCCTGAAGTGCGTTAAAAAGCTCATTAAATCGAATCACCTGCTGGTTCAGCCTATCCAGATGACCAGAAGTTTTAAAGAAACACTCCCCTGACAGAATGAATATTCCATTACAGGCTCTGTTGGGATTTGAGTTTCACTCACTTAATGTCTTTTTTCCCCCTTTTCCTCTCCTTCCCGAAAATAACAGACACAGAGTTCTCCAGGGGAGCCGACTGGATTCCAGAAGGTACCGTGTCTGCCATCTGCTGCACACGCTAGAAGGCAGGGTGTCTGGAGGCTGGTAGGCCTGCGGTGCTAAAGCCAGATTCCTGGGCTTTCTGGAAGGTTCCATGAGGTCCGAGGCACATTTTCTGGGCAGTGAGCTCTGGGCTGCCCTGTCCTGGGCCCTGGGGCCCTTGGGAAGCCCCAGGAGGGTACAGAATGTACTCAGCTGTGACACACCCATGAGAGAGGAGGGACCCTGGAGTTTTTCATGCAAAACCAGGACATGGTGGGGAATGGACAAGGACACTATTGATAGTTACGTGGTGACAATGGGTGTACACCAGGACTGTCCCAGGAAATCCGGACCATTGCGGGCACACTGGATCGTGCGGCCCCCCTGAGTGGTGGGGACGGGCGTCTGGGGCACGGCGGCGGGGGTGGGGACAGAAGAGGAAGGGGGAGTGTGCCTTCTGTTCTACTTCTGTTCTCTCTGTGCTAAATCACGGTCAGGGCATCTCATTTAACTGTCCCATCAACGCTCGAGAGGTGTTATTCCCTCCGCTTAAGCACGAGGAAACGGAGCCATGACAGGATTGGAATCACTCGTTCGGCCCAGGCGTGCGGCTTCTGGGTGGTCTCTGGCCTCTGGCTCCAGAGCCCACATCTTGACTTTCCACACTGTGCCTGGGAGACAGCATCCCAGGGGCTTGGGGTGTATCCCTGCCTCAGGGAAAACCCAGTGTAAGTTGATGTCGCCTTTTCCAAAGGGAACACACTTGTTTCCCTGCCAAGCCCTGGCCCGTAACAAAGTGAGCCTTCGGCGTGCTCTGCTGCAAAGAGCTCTGGGTTCCTCAAGATCCCTAATGCCATGGAATCTGTTTCCAGGTGCTTTGCACACCAGGATTTCTTCTTGGTCTCCAGCTGGGGTGCACGTCTCACATCTGCAGGGGAGTGGATGTCCCCTGGACTGGGTGGCGCCATCACAAGACCAACGCTATGCTTTGGGCCCGGCGTCAACTAGCCTTGTGGCTTTGGGCAGGTTGCTTTGCCTCTCGGGGCTTACTTTCCCCATCTGGAAAATGGAATTGTCAATGCTGACTTTCCTTCCTTCATGAATGAATGTGGAAGATCGTGTGAATGGTTGTAGAATTCTTCAGAGAGACTAGAGGCCTGGTTTTCCCCCCAATTTAGAATAACACAGAGCCTCCCCAAGAAATGGGGAAGAGCATCAGGAAGGATGGGGTGGCTCCCACACTCTAGCCTCATGGCTCCCGGTGGCCTCCACACTTTAAGCCCCTCCCTGGGGAGCCCCCAACTGATCTGGAGCTCCCGGGTGGAATCAGTGGGAGTCATGTCTTGGTCCCCTGATGCCTTGCACACGGTGAGTGCTCACTGAATGTTTTTGAGTAGGGGGACACATGGCTGGGGGCACCAGGCCTCTGGAGCAGGCTCAGTTTCCTGGCAGCCTGTGATTGGCTGGATGTGGAGTCTCCATAGCCTTGTGTTCATTTGCTGTCTCTCATTCATTCATTCATTCCACAAGGATTTACTGAGCACCGACTTTGTGCCAAGCACTGATTCGGGCACTTGGGATCCAACAGTGAGCACAAGAGCAGAGGCCCACCCCAGTGGACTGTGTGTCCCAGCTGGGTGGAGGGTGCCTGGGAGGAAGGGTTTACCCGTCTAGCTGGTGGTGCTCCGCACAGCGGCTCATCTCTGGGCGGGGGCTCCAAAGGGCAACAGCGGATTCAGGTCTTTATAACAGGTGTTGTCTTATCCGTGGCCAGCAGAGTTTGGGCACAGTTTTGTAGGGTCTGCAAAACAGGCAGGCTCTACATGGCTAAGAAAAAATGTGCTTATTCGGGCTCTGTGTAAAATAATTGGGTGTGTGAAAATTTGAGTTCGGTGCTGGCTGGCTGGCTTTTGTGAAGCCCACTGCAAAGAGGTAAGCAGCCTACAAGCCAGTGTGCAGAGGCCATCTTGGGCTCACTTAGGTGACAGCTTATGCACAGATTTCTGGGTCCCACCCTGAGTGATTCACTGGGGCAGGGTTGGCCCAAGAATCTGCATTTCTAGCAGGTTCCCAAGTGATGCTGATGCTACTGGCCTGGGACCACACTTTGAGAACCACGGCTCTGTGCTTTGGACCTGAATCTAGGACCCCCCGTTAGTGTGTGTTCCTGTTGATGAGTCCCTCAGCCCGTTTTGCACTGAACAGAATGAGGGTCCACCGAGCTAAGGGTAGGCAGAGTTCTTGTAACAACGGCACACAGTAGGTTCTTAATTGCCGTGTAAAAGAGGCCCCGGAGACTTCTCTGGACACTGCACCTGCTTATCTTTCTGCGAACAAAGGGAGCAGTGACGCTTCTGAGGGTGGGGGGATTCTTCCCTTCAGTTTGGTTCTTGTGGTCGGTGTGTGCGTATATGCATATGTGTACGTGCGTGTGCACACACACACACATGCACACGCGCGCGCACACATGCACACGCAGGACTGACAGGCAGAAAATAGACTCTGTCTTTAGGCATTGTAATCTTGCCAACTTGAAAACATTTTGTATGTGATTTTTAGTCCAAAAGGAAGAAAAAAAAACCTGCCCCAAAGCTAATTATTTATGAGCAGTTGGTTCTCCACACTTTTTTCTTTTCTCTGCGTGCACCAAGTCATTGAAAGCTCCAGCAACATCAATGGCTTCAGCCTGCTTCTTTGTATAAACACAATAATTAAGATTAATTAAACTTGCAGCTTCCTACACACTTGCCAGCCCAATGCCACCAGATCCGTGTGCCTGCAGCATTCAGACACATGAAATGTAATTGCTTTTTAAATTGCATCTGGGCTGTGAGTCGCCTGAATTTCTGCATTGGCCCCGGGGAAGTGGGGTACAGTCCTTCTTGCGACAAACTTTGCATTGAAGAGCAGATTCGCAAGGGTTTCTGGTTGCTTGGGTCAGCTGGGGCAGGGCCAGTGCCCCGGTTTGCAGGAGCGGAGAGCAAACACCTCCTGGGCACGCTGTGGACCCTGGGGGTGCAGCCCCAGATGCTGAGCGACCCAAAGTTGCATTTTATTTACTTGATCATATGGCATAGGTCTTAAGACCCGTGATTTTTCATTTTCACATTTCTGGAATTTGGGCGACTTAGGATCTACTCCTCTCAGAGAGGATTTGGGCTTGCTTCCCTCCGCCACCCAGGATGCGCTCCACCTGAGATTTCTCTAAATGGAAAATCTTTGCTTGCAGGTGGTGTCCTGTTTTGTTTTCCTTTGGCTCACACTGATTGTGTAAACTCAGACACCCAGCCTCTGGGAGCTCCAGCCTATGGTTCACATTCGCAGGGAAGAAGAATTCCCCTCGCTTCACCCAGTGCCAAGATCATACCTCAGATTTCCCTGCTTCCCCTTTCTGGGAGGTGGGATTACTCCTCGTTTCCCCTGACAGGGAAGGCATGGCCCCTCAGTGCCCCAGCTTTAGGTGGAGTCTCTCGTCAGGTGCCCCATCTTGGTTGGTTCTGTCCTTCCTGAGTGGTTTGTAAAATAATGACACACCTCACAATTGGCATCCTAGATCAGATGAAAAACTCAGATACTAAATCTAAGGAAGTCTTTGTGAGTTCTCCATGTCAGATGGTAACTTTCTTTCTCGGTAAGTATGATTTTTTAAAAATCTCTACTGTGTGCCAGGCTGGAACACTCACGTGCCTGGCCTTTGCCACTCAAAACCACCTTTTTTTTAGTGGGAGGAGCGTGGCCTCTTGGCCCCTTCTCCATATGTGACAAAGGACCCAGTTCAGGTGGGGACAGAGGAGATGTCACTTGGCTTTGTCCCCCTGTGATTCACTGTGCAGCTTTGGGGACTAAATTTGGCTCTTTCTTGGTCAAAGGGCTGGGCTGGGCTGGGCTGGGACCGCGCAGTCTCTGACCTTGAAAAGGAGAGAGCCCCGGATGGGCCTCCACCCATGTGCTGTGTTATCCCAGGGCCCCGTCTGTCTGTCCGTCCACCGAGCCCAGAAGCGACGTGCTACCGCCAATGTAGGAAAGAGTCTATGCTAACCCTTCGGACATCAAGTTTTTGAAACTTGTCTTTGACTTCAGAAATCCAGACAAGTTCATCTCTATGTGTTCTATTTCCTCATCCTCCGTCCCCCCAGCCCACCTGCCTTCTGCACCACCTGCTCATCCCTCCCCGACCCAGCCCCTGGCAACAATGGATTGTTCTACTGTCTCTGTAGTTATGTCTTTTCCAGAACATCATAGAGTTGAAATCAGATAGTATGGAGCCTTCTCAGATCGGCTTCTTTCACTTGATAATATGCATTTAAGTTTCCTGCCTGGTTTGGGGGTTGCTTGCTAGCTCATTTCTTTTTGTACTGAGTCATATTCTGTCGTATTAATATTCCACTTCTGGTCTTTTTTATAGACCTCTTTCCTCCATGCTGGATCCAGTCCAGGGTCACCCAGTGCATTCAGTTTGTACATCTCTTTGGTTTCCTCTACGCTAGAACTAGTCTTCTGTTTTTCTTGACCTTGACCTTGAGTCCAGGTCAGAGATTTTCTAGGATGTCCCTCGAGGCACATTTCCCTGGTATTTTCTTGAGATTGCAATCGGGCTGTGCATTTCTGGCAGGACTGTTGCAGAAGGGATGCTGTGTTCTTGGCGTGTCTTACTGGAAGACCCACGGCGTCGCTGTGGCCCCAACATCGCTGATGCTAACTCTGACTGTGTGATTAAGGGGGTGCCTGCCAGCCTTCTCCCCCATACAGTGCTGTCCTTTCTTTTGTAATTAATAAGTCATCTCTGCGGCCGCTTAGAGACACTGGATGTACAGTGCCTCTTTCTTCAGTGGTTCTCTCTATGGGGTTTTCTGCAGCCATCTGGGCAGTTCCTTCTGCTGCCGCAGCTTTGTTTCCTGACTCCGGGCCTCCCACTCTCCTGGGTCCATCTCTCCAGTCCAGGTCTCCTTTCTGGCTTCAGTCCCAAAGGCCCACCCACCTGCTGGACATCTGCTTGGGAGTCCCACAGACCCTCGGACTCAGCATGTCCAGAGATAGCCTCACTGTATTCCCTGCACCCAACCAAGCCCCAGTCCCCATATCAGTGAAAAACATCATGACCACCCACCTTCCCAAGCCGGATGCCTCCGGGTCATCCCAGACCCTCACTGACCTTGGTTCTGGTCCTAAGCTCAGAGCCTGGTCATGGATGGATCTCATGAGGAATGATGAGGGAAGGAAGGAAGGGAAGGGAAAGGAGCCATATGCTCGTACATCTCCCAAATGAGGCTTGCATCCTTGCTTGAGTAATGTCAAAATCTCTCCTCACTCCAGTCACTCGATCCAGAGGTCCTTCCCACCAACTAACTAAACCACCTCCAAAAGGCCAGCTCAGACGATGTCATCTTCCATCTTTCTCCAAAACCAACTCAAGGTTCTGGAAAAACACAGTCTGTGGCCTGACCATCATGTGCAGAGCCACTCAGGAAGGAGATAAAATGAACGCAGCCCCACCCCAGCCACTGCCGTCCTGTCCCTTCTTGGAACTGTCCAGAGCCCCTGAGGTCTCACGGGAAGTGAATCTGGGGCTGTAACTTGGTGCTTTGGCAGCAAGCAGTCAGCGAAGACATTATCACAGGCATGGCGAGCAGGCCCTGGCCCAGGAAACCCTGGCCACCCTAAGACTCACCGGCGCAGTTGGGGAAATGCAGTGGGCCCCAGACACAGCCCCCCTCTGAGGGAAACCCAGGGAGAGAAAGCCAGCCAGTATGTGGTGCCTTCAGGGACTGGAGAAATTACTAGTGACGGCTTCCTGGCGGCCATCTTGAATTGCTGGAGAAAAGCTGGCCCCTATCCATCCTTCTTGGTGCTGGCCTGGAAGCATCTCTGTGGTGGTGAAACCCCACCCAGGAAGGCCCCCAAAGGCCCCGGTGGTGACGCAGCGTGACTTCCACATTGGGGGCCCCAGCTCGGGGTGGGACCAGATTTAACAGATGTAGGCTGACTGACACCTCGGGCCCGGGGTGACTGTCATTGTTGGTGCTGTGGCTGAGTTGTTTCTTGTGAGAACACCATGCAGGATGGTGGGCAGAGCCTGGGCGTGGAACGATGTGGTGAGGGAGGCTGTCTGTGTGACCTTGGCCTGGTTCCTCTCCTGTTGGCTCGGCTCCTTCCTCTGGGGAATGGGTGGGGGGGAGAACTGAAAGCCGCTGGGGCTGGGGGCTGTGTCCAGGGTGTTCATCAAGGGCAGAGCATCTGGACAGTGAGAAGAGCCACAGCCAGTGGTCAGCAAGAATCTGTGTGGTTACGCCATGGACACCAAGGGAGGAGCAGACGGTCAGACGTGCAGGAAGGGAAGGACTCTTTCGTTCCCTATTTCATTCATTCAGCACATATTTGTTGAGCAAATGAATGTGGACCCTGCCTCCGAGGAGTCAAGAGGACCATAGACTTTAATCAGTCATCCAAAGGGAAGGTATCGGGGCTGTGAAAATGTATAATGGGCTGTTTTTTGGTCTACGGCAGGGAAGGTGCCCCTGAGGAAGCCACTCACAAGCTGAAATTAGAGTGATCAGTAGGAACTAATTAGGTGCATTGGAAAAAGGAGGGAGATTAGTATTCCAGACAGAAGGGATAGCCTGTGCGAAGGCCCAGCGGCGGGAGGACGTGAGGGCCTTTGAAGGGCCAAGAGATGGCATTTAAGGAGGGTGGTGCTTTTCTCTCTGATGGGCCTGAGGAGATTGGTGGTGCCTGATCCCTGGCACCACCAGGTAGAGGGGGAAGCTTGTGGGGCTGTAGGAGCGGCTTATCTGCCCCAGTATCCACCAGCTAGAGGAGGAAGGGAGTGAGCATTTACTGAGCATAGTATGCATTGCCTCATTTATCCTTCTAACTTTGGTAGGCAGGCATCATCCCTCCCTTTTCCCCAACAGATGAAGGAACTGCGGCTCAGAGAGACTGAATGACCTATCCTAGGTTATACAGCTAGGAAGTGCCAGAGCCAGGGTAGAACCCAGAACTCGAAACCTTTTCTTTTCCCCCACGTCACCTTTCATCCAAGGTAGATTAGGTCACATTTACTATGATAAACTCTTCTTGCCTGAACTCCTCAAAACTCTCGAGTCTCAGGTCTGTGTGAGATCTTGAAGGACTTCCAAGCATTTAGTTACCCTACATAACATCTCCTATTTCCTGCCCCCCCACCATGTGCTGTCGACCCCCTGCTTCCATACTCTAAGGGTTTGGGAGTGTACTGCTTCCAGAGGAAGCCCCTTCTCTCTTCGGATAATTCTAACTGGGTGGAACACAGGTTGTACTTTCTCTGGGGAAACTGAGGCACAGAGCAGCTCCCAGATCTGGGAAGAGCTGAGATTGTCAACTTCTTTGTTGGCTTCTAGAAAGGTAGTTCATGCCTGTGTGTGTGTGTGTGTGCGTGTGTGTTTTCTAAACATCTGAGATCATTTTAAAATGTACCTCTTATTTCAAAGAGCATTTCAGAATTCAGGTCCCTCAAAGTGAAAATGTGAGCTCTAAGTGAACAGCCACTGGGAGTCTTTTGAAAAAAGACCTCCCCTTGTCACCACTTGTCAATGCAAACACACTTTGGACCTTCAGAGATGTTTTCTCCAGGGGATCCTGGCCAAGGCACTGTTCCTCACTGAAATAAGCAGAGTGCTAGCTCTGCAAATGCAGGTGCAAACAAACAGGACACTGTAAACAGATTTTGCATTTGGAAACCATTAATTATAGGGTTTTAGTTTAGTGTAATGCCAGGCTAGCATGGGCCTGCAGCATGTTGTTCTCTTTTCCTTTCTCCTGGATGGGTCAGAGATTTGGAATCAGATAGAGTCAATGTGACATGTCCAGGAGTCAAGTTAGAGTCCACACAGGCTGAGGCAGCCCCACGTGAACCAGGCAGGTGCCAGGGAACAGAGCACGTGCCAACTAGGTCTGACCCTCCCCAGCAGCTATGGGAACTCATGCTCACTCAGCTGCTCGGGTGACTTACCTTCCCCCACCCCTAGAGTCCCTGCTGATACCAGTGCAGCCGGGAGGGCCTCTCCACCGTGTGGGTTGTAAAAAGTCTGGTTTTGCAAAATCAGTGTCGAAGGGCTTCAGTGAGTGAGAACATTTGAGGCTGGAGGCATAGGGTCAAGTGTTATCAACCTGGAGGAGATCACTGGGGCAGGAGGTGCGGTGACTCAGGTGTGAGAGTTAGAGAGTCAGAAGTGCCCAGGTCAGAACCCCCCCAGGAACACCCCCATTCAGCCATGCTTCCTCATCACTGTCAGCACTGCCATTGCCAGCCTCACCCTTGCCGTCATCACCGCCTTGTCACTGTCACCACCACAACCATCGTCATCACCTTCACCATCGTCACCGTCACCACAACCATTGTCATCACCTTCACCATCGTCACCATCACCACCACCATCATCACCTTCATATCACCATCACTGCCACCATCCTCATCACCATCCTCACCATCATCATCACCATCTTCACCATCCTCACTATCATTGCCATCACCACCATCATTGTCATGCTATCACCATCACCACCACCATCATCACCTTCATATCACCATCCTCACCATCATCCTCACCATCATCATTGTTAGCCTCCTCACCATCACCAGTACATCATCATCACCGTCACCATCATCACTATCATTGCCATCACCACCATCATCATCATCATCATGCTATCACCATCACCACCACCACCATTATCATCTCCACCATCATCACTACCACCATCATCATCTTCATCATCATCATCCTCATCATCTTCACCACCACCACCATCATCATCCTCACCATCGTCATCACCATCACTATCATCATCACCACCACCACCACCACCATCATGCCATCACCATTATTACCACCACCATCATCACCATCATTATCCTCACCATCATCACCATCATCCTCACCATCATCATCACCATCACTTGACTGTAGCTTTGGATTCCTGGAGGGTGACCCTTTGGTTCTTCAGGGGGCCCAAAGATATATTCTACAATAATAGTCCTACTAATGAGAGCTTATATACTTTTAAATTGGTATATAAATATACTTTGAGTCTTCTCTACAGCCTGACAAATAGGGGTAGGTGTTTTATCCCCATCTTACAGAGAAATAAACGGCTCAGAGAGGTTATTGACTCTCCCAAGGTCACATAGATACTGTGTGACAGAGTCTACGATAGAACCTAGTCAGCCAGGTTCCTAAGAGGTAGGCCTCTGCCCTGCACCATGCTGTATTTTGGCCATGGGACCTCTACTTGCCTGAGTCGCCAGCACTCTTGGGCCTGCACTCTTTGGCAGTGAGGACATCCCATGAGGCCACAACCCAACCAGTCCCTCTAGACTTTAGGAAATGTCTTTTGGCCACTTTCACGGATGTTGCTGCAAGGAAGTTCATTAGGCATTTGGACCTGCGTGACTGGCCTTTGGGTGATATTGGTGGCGTTGACGGTGAAGGTGGTGATGAAGAAGGAGGAGAAAGTGATGCTGAAGAGCATGATGATAAAACATGGTGGTACCTTTCATACCCTGAATGATTTGAGAAAACCAGAGATCTTTGTTTCTGGCAAAATTGACATTAGCCCCACTTCACAGTCGGGCAAACTGAGACCTGCGTGGTCAGACAGTCAGCCCAGGGCCACTGCTTGCCTAGCGTCCCCCTTGCCCTCCCCTCCCACTCAGGGCCCCTGCGCCCACTCACACCTGCCTTTGTTCTGCAGAGTCCGCGGTGGCCGGCGTGGTGGCGAGGACTCCGCTCCCTCTTCCCGAGGGTGTGCTGCGTGGCGCTCCCCCTGCAGCTCCTGTTCTTACTCTTGCTGCTCTTCCTGCTCCCTGTAGGGGAGGACAGCCGCGGCTGCTCCATGGTCAACAACTTCGCCCGCTCCTTCAGGCTCATGCTCCGCTACAGCGGCCCGCCGCCCACCTGACCCCAGGTGGCCCCTCTCCGACCCTCCGCCCGCCCCAGCACTGCTTCTGGGGCTGCGGAGGCAGGCGGCCGCCGGACACATACTCCACTGACGTTCTCCAAAGAAAACCACTTTTTATACGGTGTCGTCTTAGTCTATTTATACAGAAGCTGTCCTGTGTGTGACTAGGGGATAGTGGATAGAATTTTTATAGCCTCTGTATGTAGATGCTTAGTCTGTATCGTTTCATATATGATGTCTCTTTGTGGGGGGGCAGAATTCCTAGCACTTTGAGGGTCCAGTGGGATTGGGTGGCATTTTGCCTTGGTCTGCAGTTCCCCCCCAACCCCCGCCCTGAAAAGCAGGAGCAAATAACATGTCACTTATGGCCACTGCTTGCCCGGAAGCTGAGCCCTGAGCCCAGCTGTTAGTGAGAAGACCCCTGAGCTGCAGACATGGAAGAGCCACACAGGTCCTCACTCAGCGCCCAGTTACTCTTGCTTTAGGCACAGTGAGGACAAAGGACAGCAGCTTAGACGCTGTGGGTTGGAAGCAGAAGTGGTGATTATCGAAGGTGGGCCTGGTGACAGCAGTGACAAGTGACAAGTGATAGAGTGATATCAAGGAAGGAAAAGAACTATAACGAGCAGACCCAGAGCACTGAAACAGCACACAGCATGGGGCTCCATGGGTGGGGGCGGGACCGCTAACTGCAACCGCCCCCCCCAGCCTCCGATAGCACAGAGCCACAGTGGAGGTCCGTGGCCATGGCACTGATCCACAGGCACGCTGAGCTGGGGCCCCACGTGCTGTGTGCAAGGAGAAGGGAAGGCAAGAAACTCGGTTGCGGGGGTCTTCATGCAGAATGGGGAGCGCGCTGTGTGCAGCACCCCTGGGAAGATGCGTCCCTTCTGTTGCTCTCTGCTTTTTCATGGTCTGCGACTCGAGCCGAAGGGCCAGAAGGGATGCATCTGGGAGGCCAGGTACCAGGGATTAAGGCTCCAGGACAGAGATCAGAGATGGACCTTAGAGCTGAGCCTGTCGGCAGGGCTCTGCCTCTTCCTCCCGCAAGAAGGGACTTCAGAGGGAGGCGGGTCTTCTGGGCCCAGAGTGTCCCACACATGGCCTCACAGGGGGCCATGGCCCGGGCCGCCCCAAACCCCAAATGAGGCTCCCTCTGGGCAGGGTGAAGCTGTTAATCTCCCTGCAGCCCCTGGGGAGGAGCCGGGGGACCCTGAGGCCAGAAACATGTCCCTTCTTCCCCAGGGAATTCTGGATGGCTCCTACGTGCATTATAACTGGATCATGTTTTTCCTTAATCAACACTAAGTGTCCTTTCAGAAAACGCCTACTATCCATTTTTACAGACTGATTTCGTCTGCAGGAGACCAAGATGGGGTCCTGTAGGCCTTTGGGATCATAAAGTGTCCAGGCCCAGAAAGGCCCTGTAAAGGGAGAGAAACGGAGGATCCAGGAGGGTCCTGACTGACGGCACCAAGCCCCGCCCCGCAGCTCTCCTGCACACTCGGCCCCTCCCCCTCCAGTGGCCGAGGAAGGCCGGAACCCAGGCCTCCCTGAAACTCAGAGGAGCCGGACATTCACAGGCAAGAAAATGGTACTGCCCAGAAGAGGTCTTGGCTCGCACTCAGAAAGCACACTTTTCTCCAGATACCAGGAAACGAGCCACGAGACCACTCTCCAGGGACCACTGCCGTGGAAAATCAGGGCTGAGTGAGCCAAGGCCTTGGGCCCAGCTGGCCAAGCCCAGGTGCTCACTGGGCCGTGTGGGTCCGGCCGCTGGAAGGTCAGACTATGGCAGGGCCTTCGAGCAATCTCCATTCCCACTCTCCCACTTTGCAGGCCAGGAGGCTGAGGCCCAGAGAGGGGAGGCCATGACTTAGCCATGGCCACACAGCAGGAGCAGGAAGCCAGACAGAGCCAGGCACCCCCACCCTCTGGCTCACTGTAGCGGGACCCCCCCGGCACCCATGTCAGGAGCTCCATCAAGGAGCAGGCGCTCCAGGCGAAGGCTGCTGTGTCCCCTGTGGCCCACGTCGGGAAGGGGGGATCTGCAGTGTGCAGGCTGATGGCGGGGGGGAGGGGGTTGTGGAGAATGTCTCTGCATATTTTTTAAACTTTGATAAGGAGGCCATAGAGCCTGCTTGTTTGCATAACTTTTTTAAAAGAGAATTGATATTTTCATTACTTTCCTATAAATACAGTTGTGAAATAATAGCTCACTTGCTGGTGCTTTTCAAGTGTAATCTCTTCTGCTCAAAGTGGATGCGGACAGTTATGATTTTTATGACTTTCCAGCTTCCTGAACAACAACCGCAAAGAGCTTTCAAGTGCCATTTGAGAAAGGTGCCCCAGTGGGACCTTGTGTGTTTATTTTTCCTCTGTCCCCAGAGTGAGAGTCGTGGAAAGAAATGTGAATATCACGGCCCAGCCCAGCTCTGTGTGTGTGTGTGTGTGTGTGTGTGTGTGTGTGTGAGAGAGAGACAGACGGACAGAGAGAAGGGAAGAGGAAGAGAAGGAAGAAGGGGAGGGGGGAGTATGGGAGGGGGAAGCAGAGGGAGAGGGGAGGAGGGGGGAGAGGAAAACAGTGAATATGACCAAAGGTGCCGGTCCCCTCCTCAGCTGCCCCCCACCCTGCCCTTTCTCTTAGTCTGACCTCGCGGGGAAAGGCCCATGCAGGGCCCGAGGGTGAGGGCTGGGATGTGTGGGTGCGGATGGCAGGGGAGACTCAGGAGGCGCTCCGCTTCGGAGCAGAGTGGACAATGGCATCCAAAACAAGAGTGCCCTCCATTTGGTGCTTGCAGGTGCCCGGCCCCTTGGTAGGTGCCGGAGGAGCCATATTTCGTTTAATCCCCGCGACAATTCTCGGGGAGTGACATTAACTTCACCTCCCCGACAGGGCTTCGGGCTGGCTCTGCCGGGGTGCAGGGAGATCTCAGTGAGTGGGCGCTCTGCCCTCCACTCGGCGGGAGGACCAGCTCCCACCTGGGCTTCCCTGCTGCTCTCGCCCTGGAATCGGCACAGGGTCACCCCGCAGGTTGGGGGGGGCAGAGACCCCAGGGTCCTCTGCAAACACCTTCACACCAGTTACTTCCCACTGCACAGGGAAGCAGGGCTTTCTGCCCCTCCGCAGGCTGGGCAGCTCTCTGTCCTCCTGCACAGTCCCAAGCACGGCTGGGACGCGGATAAGCCCGCTGCCCAGCACAGGGTGGGGACTTCAGCTGTGGTTGTTGAATCCCATGAAAAACCCCAGAGGCGAGTGTGTTTGACGCCTCAACCCCCCTCCAGGGTACAGAGGAAGCCTTTCGGACTCACTGGCATCTCTCACCACCTCATCTCTTTGCTCCGGGCTCTTTGCTCTCTCTGGACGTGCAAGCCCTCAGATGCTACATGTTTATTGTCACTTCTCTTCCTGACACAATTATTCATCTGCAGCCATGGGTCATGGTAGAAATTTGTGGTTGGAAATACCAAACTGAGAAGCCCACTTTTCCCCACCGGAGATTTTCTGAGTTGGAAATAAACATTCTGTCGATCAGTTTGGCCAAGAATTAGGATAAGCTCTTGCCCCTCCCCACCTCCTGCCCACTGTTAGTCCCCAGAGCAGGGGCACTGAGGGACCCCCAAGGGAGGAAGGGAGGCTGTGCCTTGGGGGGGGCGGGGGGTGAGGGGTCCAGGGTGTTCTGTGAATCCTGAGGAGCGGCTCACGCTGGTGGCGGCACGGGGATGTCCAGTAAGCCTCTTGTGTTCCTGGCCCAGCCGGGATTGTGCCCTAATTCCCTCTCTCATGGGAACTCAGCTACTCCAGCGGGCCTCCCCCCACCCCACTCTTCTCAGCCAGTCTGACCGTCACCAGTCTGGGGCAGTACAGGAGAGGTGGCGAGGCCGTGAACTGAGAGCTCAGCACAGGCCCAGCACTAAATACACCGACATTTACTGCTCTTACTGCATCCAGGGCAGACATTGATCGTAGATTACTGAGGTCTTCCCCTCCCCCTCTCCGGCCCAAATGGGCCTCAGAGTCCTTCTCAGAACCACTCCAGGCATGGGGCGCCTGGGTGGCTCAGTTGTTAA